GCACCGGAGCGGGGCTCGGCGGGGCACCGAGCCCCTGCCTCAGTTTCCCGAACCCTCAGCCTCGGGGGCACCCAACGCTCCATCTCCCCTCACCTGCTGCGGACCCTCTCTCCCCCCTCTCCCCTATGCCCTGGAGTGGGTGGTGGGTACATTTTTGGGGGCACACGTGTGTGGTTTGAGGTGATCATTAAGACATGACGTGGTGATTATTTTTTTTGCAGCTAAGCCTTGACACAAAATATAACCATTTCTTCCAGTTCGTAGGGAGGGGGCACACTGTGTCCGGGGTCTCACTCAATGTGACACAGCTTTGTCCCCACGGGGAACCCTGAAAAGACAATACCGGGACCCAGAAGCATCACTGACATAGAAACACCACACCATGAAGGTCTGTACATTCTGACACAGGACCAAAGATCACCGGTCAGAAAACACTGCGAGCGATTAAAGCTGCTAAAGAAGGGGGAGGCCTTCGAGCGTGATTAACAGGATTAGGTAAATGCTGAGCTGGGAAAGAAAAGATTTTGTTCAACGGCAATAATACAACTTTAATGGTTCCAAAACATTTCATCTTTCAATTCCAGAGTGTTTTCCAGCAGCATACATTGTCCTTGTTTCATGGAAAGGGCAAATGAGCTGTGATCAGGTGATTTGGGGAAGGTCACAGCGTGAATGACAAAAGGGGCAGAACTGGCAGCTAGGCCGTGAGGGTAAACATAAAAGTGAGATTAGGAGGGAACACATATGAAGTTTCAAGCCCATGTCCTGCTTCCACTCGCACCGGAGGCATTTGCTTATTGCACGGAACGGGGTTTCAACACGGACGTTTCTGAGGCAGCGGCGAGGGAATACACACACGTCTCCACCATGGGCAGAAAAGGTTTCCTCGTTCTTCGTAGTGTGTTGAGGGACTGACGAATTCCCCCCGCCCGCAGCAGCGCAGCGCTGCGTTACTTCACCGCCTCGGCTCCTGGACGGGTGGAAAATACAATTCCATTTATATCGACCGAATTAACCTGAAAAAAAAATTCAAATTCTGAGAGCCTGAACCCGCTGAAGGCCCCGTGTCGCGACACAGGTCGGGGGGGGGAGGGGTGAGGGCATGACGCCATCATGGCGTCATCAAGCCCACCCCTCAGCCCTGCTGAGTCACGGCTTCTCGCGCTGACAGGGCCTTCCCTGTGCTTGACGCGGGGTGGGCACTTCCGGCCGGGCGGAGGGAAGGCGGCGGATACCTTAGCGACGGGAGATTCTCGCGAGAGTTGGCGCAGCGGCGGAAGTGACGCACGGCCGGCGGGCGTCGCGCGCCCCCTCCTCTTCCCTCCCCCCAGCTAAGCGGCGGCTGATTGGCTGGCGGCGGCGGCGGCCGTAGCGGTGGCTCCTTCCCGCTTCCCCCCGCCGCTCCCGGCCGCGCCGCCAGCCGCCAAGATGGCGTCGGCCCTGGAGCAGTTCGTCAACAGCGTCCGGCAGCTCTCGGCTCAAGGTGACCGTGAGGGGAGGGAGCCGCGTGCGGCGGGGGGGCCAACGGGGCCTGAGGAGGGGGCGGCGGCGGCCGGTGGAGCCCGCCAGGCCCCGCGCGGCTGTGGAGGGCGGGCCGGGGCCTGCCCCCTCTCACGGGTCTCCCTCAGGCGCGGGTCCTGCCACCCCGGCTGGCGAGGCCCTTGCCGGGCTGTAATTCAGGGCTCCCTCGCCGCACGCAGAGGCGATCTCGGGGGGATCCCGGCGGGGTTCAGCCGCCGCTGGTTTGACAGGGTACGAGGGGCCGGCAGTGCCCTTCACGGCGCTCCTCGCTTCCTCTCCCGGGGCAGCGGCACGGTGGTTGGTTTAGGTAGCTGGAGGTCCCGGGTGTGTGGAGTGAAGCCGGCACCGGCAGTCGTGCTAAAATCTGAGCCTTGAAAATCAGAGGGGAGGAGCGGGCATGGCAGGGATGTTAACTGGGATTCTGTGGCTCAGCCTGTCACCTAACTGATGAGCGTGCAAGTTGCAGCATGTGTGTTTTAAAATACACTTCGGAAGTGTTAGTTCCTGGGGACAAAGTAGAGCATGGGCAGAAGAGTCCTGCCTTACCACGGAAGCATGTGGTAGGAGGCCTGAGACTGTCCGTTAGAGTTGCCATAAGCAAGTGTTCAGAAAGTGTTGTATTAAGCATAGTTAGAATTCCTTATTTTCGTGGCCAAACTCCTAATTTTCCTGTGTGTGGGCACAGTGTTTCCTAGTTCTTGAGCTTTCTGTGTTGATGCTCCCTAAAACGTTTTCTGAGTGTTTCTCTGCATGGGGTGTTTGCTCCCTGCAGCTGATCAGAAACTGATGCTTTCCCCTGTAATCCCAGGCTTTATCTCTGGCAGTTACTTTTGGGTAGACCTCCAACTTTCTTTTACTTTGGTTTAACCTATTAAATATAGAGTATTTTTACTGGGGATGCCAGATACAAGAAACAAATTATACCCCAAGGTGCGGGAACAAACCGGATAAAGATGATACTTTGTACAGCTGTAATTTAACTGGAGAACCTTTTATTACAAGGTTTTGTGGATGCAAAAAGTACAAGGAGAAACTGGTTGACTTTATGGAAGTTCTCTCATCTGGGATGAGCCAGGTAGACATTCTCAGTGAGAAAGTAAATCTGGGCTGCTGGAGGTCATGAGAGCACACGGGAGAAGTACATGTGCTTGTGGTGGTGTTGGTTTCTGGTTATCAGCATTTGGCTGCATGGAAGGTAACATAAATCGACATTTAGTTAGGTCTGGTGTGGGTATTTCTGCTTATGCTGTAAGTTGTTCGGTGTGTGTTTGTGGGTAAAGGGTTCTTTTGAGGGTTTTTTGCTTTGTTTTTTAGGGGAATGCTAGATGATAGGTGTAGAATGGGGGGATTTCTCTACTAGGGAGGACACCAGAACTAAGGTCTTGCAATGCTTGAATACCGTTATCAAACCACAGAGCGCTTTATAAGCCCTCTGTCTTTCGATGCTTATCCTTGGAGTTTTAATTCTGAATGGAGAGAGCAGTTTTGGGGACAGGTTTCTGGAGTTCCTGGGTGCTGGTTCCCCATTCGGAACTTTTGATCTCTCTGTTACTTGAAAGCTAACGTTTCATTGCTAGGGCTTCCCAGGTTTTCTTTTTCAGTGGAGAAGGCCAGAGAATTGAGGATAGTGTAAATCTCTATGAATGGAGGCACTATTCCTCATTTTATGAAGATTTTTGTAAGGGTGAGAGAACCTCTGTTTTTTTCTCTCTAATCTGCAAGGTTTGAACACTGAAACAATACTCTGCTTCAGAAAGGCGTAGTTTTAATTCAAGTAATTGGGAGGGAGGAAGAGTTTGAAAGCAGTTCATGGTAATGAAAGCGGTTCACGGTCTGCTTTCTTTGAAAGGTTTTTGGGGCTTACCGTACCTTGCTATTTCAAAGTAGTTGGCTTTCATGCTGTGTTTGTAGCTCACAACAAATAGAATAACGTTGTTTTAATTATACAAAGTAAAATTAAAAACAGGGTTTTTTTAAATCCTTTTGTTGTAGGTACTTAGTTGTAATTTTATTGTCTAATTAAAAAAAAATGCTTATAAGCAGACCTTAAAAGTCAATAGGGCACTTGAGGAGCAGCAAGGAACAAGCCCTGGTATTGGGATTTTTTAGGAAGTGGAGAAAACTATTTTTGGTTCTGTTTTGGTTTTCTTTTGTTTTTTTTCCCTTATAACGCCTAGAAGGCATAAGTGTATCCACATGAGGCAAAATGTTGCATCACAGTATACCGGTCAAAGTTTTGTAGGCTTGGCATTGATACGAGACCCTGAAGCCCCCCTAATGAGGCGAGCTGATGCTGCTTTTCATGTTGTGTTTGTGTTCTGAGGGGCGCCTTTGCAATGCCAAAGGCCAGAAGCTTAGCTGTCACCTTATAAAAAAATAAATATGGTTGGTACTTCACTTATTGAAAGCTAATGCCTATTGTATTAAAGAAAAGTAAATTCTCTGGGTGACACTACTTTTTCCTTAGGTTATATAGGGGAAAAAGGTGTAATGAAGTGTGGGAATGTGTGAGTGTTCTCTAATTAGAGCTTGACAACAATGTTTTGTATTTCAGGGCAAATGACCCAGCTTTGTGAACTGATCAATAAAAGCGGAGAACTGCTAGCAAAAAATCTTTCCCATCTGGATACAGTGCTTGGTGCCCTGGATGTGCAGGAACACTCGTTAGGCGTTCTTGCTGTCTTGTAAGTATTGCTTTCTTTTAATTAAATATCTTTAGTATTACAACTTCAGCAACATGCTGAATTGTCCACAAAATGTTTTGCTTTTGGACATAATTTTTTTCAATCTGCATGTCTTAGAATGGTGCTTAGTTTCCTTCCGTGATGCACAATTTATTAATAAAAATACCAAAGCAAATTTATATTTCCAAAAGAAAAAAACCCTGGAGTTTATAAATGCCGTTAGTGTCAAATGGTAATATTGGGAGTTTATTTTCCTTAAGGCTTTATCTATTTCTCTTGTTTATGTCTTTATAAGTATTTTTCCATATGTGTTCAGCAAAAAGGTATAAAACTAACTTTTAGAACTTGATTGGCAGGGCATTAGTGCGCTGAACTTTAAGCACACAGCAACAAGTTGTTTTTTTTTCCAGTGAAGCATGGTTTCTTATCATAGTTCTTGGGCATTTGTCTCTGGACAGCATTGAGGTTCTTGCTGCTGTCTGTAGTTTAAGATAAGACTTGAAGTGCCTTGGTGATGCTGAAGTAAGGTAAGGATATTTGGCCCTGAAGCTCAAACTGTTTCTAGCTGTACCTAACCACAAGTGAAGCGTCTACAGGTTCCACTATTATTTTAATGGTCTCTTTTAAAGGAAAGAGAAGAATTCTAGTACTTGCTCTAGTATCCTTTTGAAACAAAATGACTGTAACACACAGAGGTAATGCACTTTATATTCACTCGCATCTCATAAAAATGCATTATGGAATTCACAAAAGGCAGGGAACTGGTACTGCATTAGCAGAGGAATCTTATCATGGGGTACAAGAAAACAGTCATTAAAAATGGGTGGAGGAAGGAAGATAACTGTTTATAATAAATAATGTGTAAAATGTATTATTTGAAGAGATGGTATCGGTGCAACGTATAGGAAAGTTCTCCCAGCTGAAACCGTGGCATGGGAAACTCCTGCGCTGTTAGAATAAGACTCTCTGAGGAGGCAGGGAAGGGGTGGCAGCACATAACCTGTACAGTCAGAAGCCTTGTGGGGAAGGACAGTCCATGATCTAGGCGAGTTTGTACTGCGTATTACAGTGTATAGCAGCTGAAGTACGGGCAGGGTTGGGTACAACAACAGCATTAAACAGTTTTTTTCTGATATTGTGGTGTTTGTAGGATGCATAGCTGGAGTTCTCATTGTCCTCAGATGAGCATAATCATAGCTCATTTTGCAGAAGTAATGTGCAAGGCTGCAGCCTACTGGGTGCTAAGGAACCACCAGAGATGGAGAGAAACTGGAGGTGAAGAGAAAGAGCTCCAAACGAGACACACATCTAATAATTTAATAATTGAGAAATCTTGAGCACGTTGAAGAAGGAGATGGCTGCAGGATAGGCGAAGGTGTTCAGAGAAGTTGTGTGGCCGAGTATTGTAATTCATCATCGGTAGCCAGTGATTTTTAACTGCTATATCTGATAAAATGGTCTTTGCTGTAGTTTGTTGTAAACTGTAATTTGCATGAGATTGAGAATGGGAGTGTGCACGGAAAGCGTATTTTCCAATGTTATGCAGCTCCTGGGGAAATTGTATGCCATCTTTCATAAATAGTTTGGATTTGTTTGCAGGCATATACATGCATCTGCAGAGACTTAGTGATGAAGATGAAGCTTTTTTTATTAATCTCCAAACATTGAGTTAAACCTTTCTTTGTTGTTGTTTTTACTTTAGGTTTGTGAAGTTTTCTATGCCCAGCATCCCTGACTTCGAAACGTTATTCTCACAGGTGCAGCTTTTTATCAGCACTTGTAATGGGGAACACATTAGATATGCAACAGACACTTGTAAGTTAAGCTTACTTTCAGACTCTATATTTTTTGATAGTTTGGTTTTACTGTCTTTTTTTTCACTTTTTTTTTGTTCTTGTTCTTTTTTACTGCATTTAGTTGCTGGCCTGTGCCATCAGTTAACAAATGCCCTTGTGGAGAGAAAACAGGTGAGCAAGTATCATCTATTACAAATAAGCTACCTGCAATATCCAAGCTCTTAAAGGGGATGTTACCAGTCTGTAACTCTCTTCATAAAGATTTGCCACTAACTTCAGGTTAAGTATTTTTGTGCAGCTCCTTACTTACTAAGTTTACAGAGAGGTAATGAAAGTAAACCAAGATTTTAAGACTTCTTCAAGGAAAATGTTAAGAGAGAGAAATTTGGTGGGGATGGGGGGGGAGTCACCTAGAAATGTGCTCTCGCACACAAACTAGAAAATCCATAGTACCAACAGTGTTCTTCAGACAATGTGCGCATCAGCACGAGAGCTGCAAAAATTATTAGCGCTGAGGAGTCAGTGATACTAGTTTTGGTGTTATTCCCACCAGTGTTATGTAATGTTCTTCGTGAAATGCCTTAAAATGTGAAGGAAACTTGATTAAGAAATATTTGACCAATGTTTTTGTTGCTAAAATACTGACTTTTTCAGGCCATTTTAGTGAAATCTAGCCTGAAATAGAACTAGAGATCAAGTCTGGTCTAAGTGGAGTAAAGCGAGAGCCTTGCTTTTGGTATTTGGTGGGAGTTTAGATGGTGTCGTGGAGTCAAGAAAGGTTTTCTTATTGATACAAATTCCTGTTGTTCTGATGAGGTTGGCTTTGTGGAGCAGAATTTATTACTTTATTTAGTTTATCAGGAGAAGTTGTATAGCCAAGATTAATTTTATTTTCTGAGAGACTGCAGTATCCTACGAAAAGGGAACCTCAAGTTAACTATTACTTAATGGAACCTGTCAATTAGTGTTATTTTTCATTTGTAAGTGTCAACATAAGATCCAATGTGCTGCCATCTATGAGAAATTATCTGAAAGAGATGTAATTTCTGACAGCCCCTGCGAGGAATTAGCATTCTCAGACAAGCCATAGACAAGATGCAGATGAACACAAACCAGCTGACCTCAATACATGCAGATCTCTGCCAGGTAAGGGGAGCATAAGGGCTTCTCATGACTGTAAAAGCTTATAAAATACCAGTAACCCTTTGAGGAAGCATGGCCACAATTGCAATGTAAAAGTTACTTTTACCTTTTTTTTTTTTTTCCCCCAGCAGTAAATAATATGATAGACTGTAATAAAATCCCCTTCTATTAATTTTAAATGTTCTGTGCGTGTCCTCAGATCTTTGGTTTTGTTGATGACTTCAGAAAGTCCTCTGACATCCCTTCTCTCTGGGCTGAAAGTCACACACAGCTTCTCTTAGGCAGTATAAGTGTAATATCCAGATACTGTTTGCTCAAGTTTGACAAAAGGCATGTTTGTCTCAGTGTCTTTGGCCTGGATTTGTGCTTGTGTCTCGTTCTTGGCTCCTGGGATTTAGGGCTGGACAGGAATGTTTAGTACAATATTTAGCCCTGCCAGCACGGTAGTCTGCAAGGCCTGGAGTTTCAAGCAGCTTTGTCAGAGTCTAATTTCCTTAGGAGTCAGGTAATTAGTAACGGTTCACAATCAGTGATAAAGGTTTTCTAAATACCATGATATAATGAATAATCTGTGTTACAGCACTACTGACGTGCACTGTTTTTTTTACTCTTAGAGGAGTGAGATTTATTAAACAGTACTAGATGAATTTAGTTTCAACTTCTTTGTCACGGAAATTTGACTGGAAATGGCTAATTTATAAAAACTTGATTTATTTTCTTGTAGCTCTGTTTGTTAGCAAAATGCTTTAAACCTGCCCTCCCGTATCTAGATGTGGACATGATGGATATTTGTAAAGAGAATGGGGCATATGATGCGAAGCACTTTTTATGTTACTACTACTATGGTGGGATGATATACACTGGGCTAAAGAACTTTGAAAGAGCACTCTACTTTTATGAACAGGTAACTTAAATAAAATGGTAAGTCTAAAGTGTGATCAATTGAAAGGCAAAAGTAGCATGTGTAATAGCTCTGAGAGCACATGCCATCTTTGAATTGCCAACAAGGATAGCAATAAAAGCAGTGAACCTAATGCAAAGTACAAGCAGTCTCCAATTATTTTCATTTAAGCTTAGGGGTATAATTCTACTAGTAGGTGTATACTGCTGTTCGTCATTCACATACAATTTGCTTTAGCATGTGTGTTCATCATAGTAATACATAAAACCTGATTTGGGCTAGTGATCACTATTAGCTGTTTATGAAGGGTCCAGCCTGAATGGTACCCTTTAGTGTGTAAAGTGAAGTAACAAGCAAACTGTCTTCAGAGGTGTGTTCCTTTAAGAAGGTCTCTTACAGCCAAGTAACTATTGCACCATGAAACTATGCAACTCAAAGGTTGATGTTAAATTTATCTCCCTATAAATATTTTTTCAAATGCCTGCTTATTACTGCTTGCATAGAAACACTTCACAGGCTGACATTCAGAATTGTGTATTCCTAAAGAAAAAACAGTTTAGTGGTTTTGCTAAGACCTTTGCTAATTTTATGATGGGAGTTAAACTTCTTCAAGGCTATTACCATATTTGCTGTTTTTACTTTCTCCGTGAAAGAAGAGAAGATCGCAAAATTGGGAAAATTTCGGGGGGGGGGGGCAAATGCAGTCAAATGTGCAAAATAAACTGGTGCAGCATTTTTCTTCTCTGTAAACAAAGGTGAGCTCTTGAGTAGCTAGCAGTATCGTAGTAAACTACAGTTCCTTTTCCCTATTCTGCAGACCTCTTTCAGCGTACTTAAATATGACATCTGATGACGTAATAGCTTTATAAACCTCTTTAAGGATTTGTGTAAATCCAGGTTCTACAGGAACTGTATAATCATTCCTGGTAACAAGTAGCTAGAGGTACTTTCCAGTACAACTTCAGATACATACCAAGGAAACAAGTTTTGATTTGATCTTAAGAGGGTTGTTTTAAGGTAGGCATCACTGTAATATGATACATTTTGAGTAGCTTGTATAGAATTTACTTTTTTGGATAATTAATTTTGACAGAAGTTAGTTAAGCTTTAATGCTCAAAGGTGAATTTCATTTGTCATTGTATCCTTTCTGCATGCAGCTTTAAACTGAGATTTTTGTTAAAGCAGTAGCTACCAGGATCTACCAGTAAGTATACTAAATCTCTATTGCATTTCTTTCTTTCCTGCTTAGGCAATAACTACTCCAGCCATGGCAGTCAGTCATATTATGTTGGAATCATATAAAAAGTATATTCTAGTTTCTTTGATACTACTTGGCAAAGTTCAGCAGCTACCAAAATACACTTCCCAGATAGTTGGTAGATTCATTAAGGTAAGTCTTGTGATTACAGCTAAATAACAGAACAACAAATCTCGATTTGTAAATTATTTTTTTTCTTCCCTCATTTGATGGTACTGTTTAACATTGCAGATCATGGGAAATAACGCACAATGTGCCAGAGTACAACCTCTTGCTGACTTTCTAGTGTACAATAGCTAAAGATTGTCTTGCAACTTCTATGTCTGTTCATATTGGCGATACAAGTTTTTAAACTTAAATTTGCAAAAACTTTAGGGTTGAGTATTACTTACCAACGTTCTCTTCACTGATACTGCACATCTCTTGATTTTACGTTAGAACTCAAACAAGACTCAGATTTCACTTGGCTTTCAATATGCAGTGTCTTTGTAAAAACATTCAACCCATAACTTTACCTAGCTGAAGTACAATATGCTTATTCCAAAACTCCAGCTTTATAAAGAATAAAAGCTTCTGAAAAAGCTGCAAGTTTGGAGTCAGTAAGCATTCTGATGAGGAGGTGTAGGGTGGAAAACAAAACTGCTAGCAAGAGATTTCTGATCCTAGGTAAATAACACACTTCTAAAAGTTAGTTAGTTCTTATTTAACACTGAATTTGCTGATTTGTGACCAAAATTTTAGAGTTCAAAAATTATTCTTCTAGTGTCAGATACTAATAAGCAAGCTCAAACAATTGCCATTTTAAAGTAATTTCAGTGAACTAGTCTTTACCCTCTGATTCTCTGTTGTCTGTGCTGTGATTCATCGTGGTCTAGGATGACAGTGTCTTAGAAGTTAGAACAAATATAATGGATGGACAGTGACTAGTCAATTTGCTGCTTACCTGGAATTCAGCTTACTTCATATGCTGGTCAGCTAATGGACTTTTTCTGGCTCTCCCATAACTAGAACTGTCATACAGAGGTCCTTGAATGATGTTTACTAAATCTTACATTGCAGCAATAGACGTTGAGTGTATGAGGATCTGTCATTGCTGTAAAGCCATGTATGGACATCATGTAATTTTTATGAGAGATGCTTGAGCTATTTAAATTTGCTTTTATGCCTGCATGGCTTCTAATGTTGAAGTAGTGAATAGATTTTGTGAGGCTGGTTGAACACCGTGTTTTTTATGAAGGGTTCTTATTTTTCTAATTGCAGCCCCTTAGCAACGCTTACCATGAATTAGCGCAAGTTTATTCAACCAATAAACCCTCAGAGCTTCGAAATCTGGTGAACAAACACAGTGAAACATTCACAAGGGATAACAATATGGGGCTGGTTAAGCAGTGCTTGTCATCTCTCTACAAAAAGAATATTCAGAGGCTAACCAAGGTAAGAGGTAGGGATTTTGTTTTGCTGAGAAATTGTGATTACTTTTTCTCAAAGAGTGTATCTCTGAAATGTATTTGATTCAGAGCAAAATGATAATATAGTAATGTCACGGAGAAATGATGAAAACTGAGATTTGTGTCTCTGAAACAAATGAGACTAAAATGCTCTATATAGAAAACCAGTTCACTTGACTACTTATGCATTATTTAAAAGGTGGTTCAATATGTCTGTCTATCAGAGGGGTTTGCCCATGAGATTTTCATACATAATCAAAAAAGTTGTGAGCGCTGCTACAAAATAACGTTCATCTTTATTCAAAAAGTAGGAAACCTGAACTTTACAGGTCACTTCATTAGAGAGGAGTGAGTGAGCAGGACAGATTTTGGAAGCGTCTGAAGTAAAAGGAAAACCAACAGCAGTGGAGTGATGTGCTCCTTTAGCTGAGAGATCAGATTAATCCTCAAAGATGATCGGGGGAAGGTCTATTTTTTGCAAGCTCAGATGATGTTCGTTGTGGTAGAACTAAGCTGAGAAGTGATGCGATATATGCATCTCTTGGAAGAAATTCAGGGGATGGACAGTCACCTTATTCACATAGGGAATAGGTAGGGCAAGGTCAGGACTGTGTCTGGGGTAGAAATGGAGTGATGACTCCATTAGTTTGTTCTGGAGACATGCAGAGTGCAACACTCGGTATCTTTGGAGGAAGAACTGACTCCACTCTCATGGTGCTTATAAGTAACAACTTCCTATCAGGCTTGTTTCTTCCCATCAGACTTCAAATAAGATTGCGTAGGCTGTGAAGGATTGATAGGGAAAGTTGGTAGCATCTAGTTTTAACTTTTTAATACTTTCTAAATTTCAGACATTTTTAACATTGTCACTACAAGACATGGCAAGTCGAGTGCAGTTGTCGGGGCCCCAAGAAGCAGAAAAATACGTCCTCCACATGGTAAGACTTGTGACTTGGCTGTACTATCCTAAATTAAAAACTGGTCCAATTTAAGACTCTTTTAAGCGTTTGGATTGGCAGTGCAAGTTCTGAATGGCTGAAGAATGGTTCTTTTTCAGGGTGAAGGCAATACTGTCAGTCTGCTGTGGCATTTAGACTGTTCTCAAAAAAAAATCTTAAAAGATATTTTCTGCCTAAGATAAGGCATGCATCATTTGTCTTTGAGAAGCTGGTAGGAAGTAAAAAGCAAACAAGTTAAAGATGATTCCACAAGGAGTTGTGTGTTGTAGTTACCTGAAATTCTGTTCTTAGTGATAGCTTACATTAAACTATCTCTCATTTCAGATAGAAGATGGTGAAATCTTTGCAAGTATTAATCAGAAAGATGGTATGGTCTGTTTCCATGATAATCCTGAAAAATATAACAATCCAGCTATGCTTCATAACATCGATCAGGAGGTAAACATATGTAACATATTAACTGCTTTTGGAATTCCTAGTGAAGAACCTTAGTCTGTAACCAGAGCGCTGCTGGAAGAAGCCAGTGTAGGTAACTTGCATGTAAAGATTGAGGATTATAAATCAGTGTTTGACTATTTCACAGTACTAATATTTAAAGGTTTTAGATTGATAGGGAATGCATTGACAGTAATAGACTGTTGGATCTTCTGTACAGCTTGAGATATTTCAGTAGGCTGACTGCTTAATGTTGGTGATGGGGAAGTTCCTTGAATTGAATGGATTAGAAAGATTGTTTTGGAGTTTTAGCCTTCAAGGATCACTTCCACTGGTTGTCAATAACCTGCCTGTAGGTTGAGGTGGCTGACCCGCATGGGACTCTATCAGTGGCCTTAAAAAGGATTGTTAGGAAAACATGAATCAAAATAAGGGAATAAAAAAGGGGTCTGACACTGTTGTTTGGGCGATGAGGGATGAGAACATTTTCACACAGACCTTTTGTGGTGGCAAAAGACTGGTTCTGCATAGCACAGCCATGAAATATCTTGAAGATCGTATACAAGCTGGACAAAGTAATCAACTTTATATATATTTTTAAGATGCTGAAATGTATAGAGCTTGATGAACGACTGAAAGCCATGGATCAAGAGATCACTGTGAACCCTCAGTTTGTGCAGAAGGTAATTGATTTAGTGTCTTGTACAAGTGTGTAAGAGATTCAGCGCAGTGAGGATGTGTTGCACTGAATGGCAGTACTTCCGGTGTTAATAACTACATATTAATAATAATTAATTATTAATACTCTATATTGATAATGTGCATGTATTAATAATATGTGCATAAACATCATGCTTTAAAACAAAAAAGGAAGTGCATGTTGTTTCATACGCACTTCATTTTCCTACATGTGAACTTCAAAGAACTGTGAGTCTCAAAGGTAAACCTTCAGACCTGTTTTTGAAAACAAGTAACTCTCTCCCTTCCAGAGTATGGGCTCTCAAGAAGATGACTCAGGGACCAAACCATCCAGTTATTCCTGAAATTCATGTTGCTCACCACTCCGCTTTCAAGTAAGAGCTTATGAAAGAATCACGCCTGGAATAGGGCATTGAGGAGTTCCACGAAGAGAGCAGAGAGAACTGAGCTTTGCTTTTCACCTGGACATTAAGAAAATAAAAGAACACCCTCTCAGTACTGTATAGTATCAGAAATACTCTCTGCAAAGAAAAAGGAAATCTCAAAATAAACTAAAGTCTGTTGTGGATTTATTTATCTTCAGATTAACATCGTTAATGCATTAAATAATCTACCTTTTGTTTTAAAGGGTTTGAATGTTGCTGTGTTTCTGTAGCAGTCCTTTTTTCTCTTCTGAAAAAAATTTGTTATTCAGGGAAGAATACAAACTAGTGTTGGTTCACTTACAAGGTAATTCCTGGTTCATTATTCTGTATTTAAAGTTGGCTCAAAGTGCAGATTTATCATATGTATGGTGGGGGTAGAAGGGTGGAGTTTAAGTACATTCTCTACATTATAATTTGCATATGCCCAGTGTAGCTGGCCTCTGTCTATTAAATGAAATAAGAACTGTGTTCTTCCCAAAAGGATGAGCATATTAATGAGTCCTTGTAAGGTAGTCTTGCTGAAAAGCAGAAATCACTATAGGGAATCCATATGTGACAGCTATTTATGATTTTAAGTTTCTGGTGCAAAATATCTCCTAATAACATTTGCTCTTAGATCAAACTTACTAGACCTAAACAAAAGAATATTTGAAAGATCTTGCTGTTCTGGAGGATTCTGGATATGAAGTTGTTCACACCAAAAGAAATGGTTCCTATACAATTGGCATGAAGGTATTCAACAGGCTAATACTTTTCTGTGGTGGAAGTAAGTGAAGGCCATGATATAGATCTGTTTCCAGAGAAAATAATTTTACATGGAACATAGAATTCTATACAGCTCTCAAAATGCATTTTAGGATTTTATTTGGCGATAACATGCTGGAATGCTATCTGGTTTTTAATTCACTATTTTAAACATAAAAACTTTGTTGTTCAAAAAACATAAAAGCTTTGTGCTTCACCCCTTAAATCAACAGGGTCTTTAATTTTCTGTAGCGCTAATGTAGCTGAAGATTCCCACTGTTAAAACACCTTTGAAACACTTTATGTCAGTGCAACTCTCCTACTATCGAGCATAAATAAACCTGTCACCAAGTCAGAATGCGAGAAGCTCAGCATCCACTGCTTCCTACTTAAATGCCTGTCCGGGAGCTGCTTGCTACTGCTAACCTGCCAGCTTTTGTTCAGGAGCCTAAGTGGGAGCTAAGCCTTTCTGCCTCTTCCCGTGTGAAGCTTGTATGTATTGAGGTCACTCATAATGGAAAATATTCCGTTTGTGCTTCCAGTGCCAATACAGAACTGTTGGGGTTTTCATTTAAAACTGGCATCTTATTTCTAGCAGAGCCTCTGTGACAGCGGTGTGCTTTCTAGTAGAAGAGAAATGCCCCAGGTTGTTCTCTAGGTGGTGAATGATGTTTTTAAACGTATAAAGTAGCAGTTTAGCATTGAACACAGCATAGGTCCATAGTGTTAGTAGCTCACCATTGAGTACTTGTGCTTCCTACCATAGAGACTTCCGTATTTGAAGGCAACTTTTACACCTGATCTTAAAGTAAAGTCTTGGGGGTTTTTCATAACTTGCCTTACCAGTCTTGCAATTAAAGATATTTATGATTTTTAAAGGTTTTTTTTTTTTTTTTCCAAGTTAATCCTGCAGTGATTTCAATGCCAAACACACTTATGCAATTTTCTTCTCTGGTACTGTAGAAGTGTTAAATTAGTATATTAGTAATGTGGTGGGCTTGAGCACAAAGCTGGGTGGTCAAAGTGTTTACAGCCCTGTGTGGTAGTCAGAAAGGACGGCAAATGACTAACCCCAGACTGCCACCTATCCGAAAATGGGGATGGCTTGCCTCTCTTTGCCAAGGGCTCATTTGTGGGGAGGGGAGAATATGCATGATGCTTTCATGAAGTTGGAGAAGAACCAGAAATGTCTACTTCACAGTGGCTGAGCTTTTATACCACTAGTTCCTCTTAGTGAGCGTGGCCTTCCCTGCCGAGAGCTGCAGGATGGCTTTCTCTCTGTGGAATTGGAAGCAAACTAATATATGCAGCTGGCAAATAGCAGCCACGTTATCTCTTCTTTTTCTTTGCCTAAAGTAGATTAAATAAGTCCATGCTCACATCAAAAGAATGGTAGAAATAGCTACCTAATAGTTTCAAATGATATATTATGCTTTTTCTTAATCTGATTTTGAAGAAGGCAAATGCTTTTAAGGTTAAAGAACTGCTAAGGTTCCTTTTCTGACGTGGATAGTTGTGCTGTTAAACTCTGATTGCTGTTGAAAATTCAAAGTCGAGTCCCACCTGTGAATCAGTAGAAATAAAGCATTCACCAAAAGTGCTTCAGGGAAGGGCTTTTAAGTGATAGTTTGATAAACACATACGGTCTGGCGTCTGCATGTCTTGAGATACTGTTAAAATTAAGTCAGATTTTTAATGAAGTAGCTCCTTCAAGTCTTGGAACTAATTGCATGGGCTGTGGTCAGCTGAGACGCTTTGAGAACATTTCAGCTTTCTGGTTTTAATTTGTATTTACTGCAGGGAAGGACTTTTGATCAGGTATAAGAACACTGTGTGCTATGCTTCTCCGAACTTAGAGTCTCGGAGGTCCTGTGGCTAGTTCTTCCCATCAAGCATGGCCACAAGATGTGTTCACTAAGTACTGAGTGCATGCTTTGATATCTAACTCATATTTTCATGCATCTGAATTAGCTAAGATACAAAATGCCATTCTGAAGGTAGCACTAGACTTGCAACTACACTTCTTAGCCACAGGAGGGGTCTCTAGTTCAGTTATGCTTAGCAGGAATTAAGTTGTTTCCAAGAAGAAATAGATGCTGTTTGTGTACAACCACCCCTCCTGGTTTTGTGCCACTGAGGAGCCTCAGATAGCCACCTCAGTGGACACCGCTGTTGCGCCACATGCTTTCACTTAACTCCAGCTGCCGCCTCCTATACAACTTCACTTCCCAGTTCCACAGTACAACCGCGACCCGTTGTGTGTGTTGTCATAGGCGATCTGTATAACCTAGGAAATGTTTTCTGCATGGCCAAACTGGCTGAGGAGGTTAGTCCTGAGAAGTTGTTTAAATGTACTATTGGAAAATAAAGATAACAAATGAGTTATTCTTCTTAGTTTGTCTTAAATGAGGTAGTAGGGCTTTTGTATTTGGCTTTTCCTTAGTTTTTTTTTGGGGGGGTGTCTTTTGTTCTTGTCGCTTCTCAGGACATGCGATTCTGGCTGACTGGCGGGAGGCTGCTAGTCGTCTGCTGCGTGTGGCAGTGCCCTCTGCTCAGGAGCTGTTCGTGCTCTGCAGGTGGCTTCTCGGAGCTTTCCTGAACTCTCTCTCAAGTAGAAATAGTAGTTCTTTTTGTGCAAACAGTGCGTCTCCCTTGGAAAGTGCTGCTACTGGCCTTTGTCCGAGAGGGGCTCCAGGATTAGATGGACTTTGGATCAAATATTTCTATTCGTATCTGATCTTTGTGTTACAATAATCATCCGTCTCACTGACCATCTGAGTATTGTTTTCTTCAGAGGCAGAATGCTTAGTCTGTGCATGGCTGCTTGGATCCAGAGGCATATATTGTAGTGATATCAGTGATAGCTGTTCTTTGTTGGGATTTAAATACAAGTTTTTCTCAGCTGAATGATCTATGCTGTTATCTTTTGGAAGACTTCACTACTTTTGTTCAGGCTTGGGTATTTAAAATGCTGTAGGGGTCAACTCCCATGTAAAATTGGGAGAGTGGGGGTAATCTAGTACTTTATTATTTTGACGTGTGAAAGGATGTGGAATTCCATTTCTTTCCATCATAGCGTTCTAGAGATCCTCTAATAAAACGTGATAACCCAAGGAGAAACTGGAGTAGCTTATTGGAGAGAGGATCTGTACTGAAGAGCCCGGAGCAGGCTCTTTTAGCTCAAGTACTTCAACCTTCTAACTTAGGATTTACCCGTGTAAACATCTTGATATAATTGCTTTGTAAATGGAGTGGGAAAAGATAATACTTCATGGAAGCCTTCTTAGATTCTACTTAAAAGAGTTAGAACATGCAGTGGGTGCTGCCAGTGCTTGTATTGAGCGTCTTCATGGGAGAAGTCGGGCCCAGCCTGCGGTGGGGACACGGGAGGGGACAAGGGGCGCTGCGGGAACCTGTGGCGAAGCTCCTCCTGCCTCCCGGTAGCCGCCAGCG